GGGGGGGGGGAGGCACAGTTTCCATTCAGTAATGTTATATTTTCAGGTAGAGGGTTTGCAAACTCAAAGGAGGGGCTGGGCGGGTAAGTCAGATAAAACAGGCTGGGGGGGGCGGGGAGTCTTCCCAACAGGGTCGCACTTTGTGTGTTAAGCCTATTGGAATATTCTTCACCTGACAGCTGTTTTCTGGGAATACGTAGAAGCAGCCGCTTTTCATCCATCATTGGCTGTGGTCTTTTGGGAGAGCATGCATGGTTGTGTCAGAGGTTTGTTTTTTTCCCAACAAGACAGATCCAGGTTTGTCTGTGAAGTCTTACAGTGTTGACTTAGCTTTTGAAACATGTACTGTGCCCGTCAAAGAAGACCTATGCGTAGACCATGGTTGGCCTGCAGGCTGCCATGTTGCAATCTCCCTTTAGAAGGTCTGCTTCAGAGAAGGTTGCTTTAGGGGAAAGCGACGTTTGGATTGGCCAGTTTGTCTCTGCCCCTGGTAGGGGCCTGTCCACGTTAGCGTCCAGCCTTCCTCCGCGAGAGTCAGGGGCTCAGAGGCAAGGCCCTGAGTGTGGCTCTCCACCGACTGCGGTCTGCTTTTCAGTGTGGAAACATGGCCCGAGAAGGACTGCGGGTTCTCGTGGTGGCGAAGAAGTCTCTAGCAGAGGAGCAATATCAAGACTTTGAGGTAAGTGGTCCTGTGATCTTTCTATTGTGTTTTGCAGTTTCCGTACGTCTTCCCCTCTCTGGCTCTATCTCCTCTTCGTCTGCCCCTCGCTGAGTCTGCTCTAGCCATGCCGATGTCCTTTCTGAGCACCCCAGGCTCACTTCTGTCCCAGGGCCTTTGCACTTGCTGTTCTCTCTGCCTGGAACTCCCTTCCTGCACAGACCTCCCTGGCCTGCTCCCTCGCTTCCTTTGGGTCTCTGCTCAAATGCCGCCTCCTCTGAGAAGTCTTCCCGGACTCCCCATCTAAGGCAGCCCCACCTCACCACTCGCCGTCCACCACCCCGCTTAGCTTTCTTCACTGCACCATCTTGAATGGACTCGTTTATATGTTTACATCTAACGTTCTTCTTAATACCTCCTTTCAGGAATAAAATCTTTTCTAGAGCAGAGGCGGTCAGTCAGGTTTGCTGTCACATCCTAACATTTAGGGTGGTCACTGGCACATAGTTCACCCTCTGGAAAATTTGAAATGAATCACCCCCTTGGAGCCCTCAGTTTTTTGAGCTGTAAAAAGAGTTTAACTAGATCGTTGACTTTCATGGCTTAGGGGCTCCAGCGTAAATATGCCTGGTTTATCGTCCTCTTGTCCCACGGATTGCATGTTCCTTGAGGGGAAGGGCCCTTGTATCCCCAGGCCTGGCACAAAGCGAAGTGCATGCATGTGCGTAGGACCGAAAGGGAGAGACAGGTGTTTGGGGACAGGCTTCTGGGGTCCTTGTCATGCTTCACCCAGAGAAGCTGTGCTTGATGGTGTCTCTTCCACGTGCTTGAGTTCTTTGTAGAGTTTTCTTTAGCAAGAGTTCCGGCCCTGATAAATTCTACTGTCTTTTCATGTTTAAAGGCCTGTGTTTGAATCAGCTCCTTAGGGGATTCTTGATTTTCTTCCATGTCTTTACCACCCCTGGAAAGTGGCTAAACAGAAGGGTTGGGTCGGTGGTCTTTGGAGGTGGGACTTCGTCTTCAGAAAACCCAGTGATCAGGGATTCTTGGTCACAAAGTGCACGTTGTGTGTGGGAGATCTTGAGGGTACCAGTCCTTGTAACAACCCAGCGAGGTGGGGGCTGTTACTGCTGCTTCCTGGGTGAAAACAGCTAAGGCTCAGATAAGTCGAGCAACTTGCTGGAAGTTGCACAGCCAGGTAAGTGTCGAGGAAAGGGTGGAGTCAGGGCCCGTCCGAGGTCTGGGCTGATCAACTTGGAAGGAGGCTGGGAGCCTCGGTTCATCCCTTTGAGGTCCAGCCACGCGCCGGGGTCCCCCCTTGGTGTCCTACTCCTGACGGTGGTCAGCCCGGCCCCCTCCCCACCGCCAGCAGTGACCGTGTGTCCCCTGCCGTGTCCCAGGCCCGCTACGTCCAGGCCAAGCTGAGCGTGCACGACCGCTCCCTCAAAGTGGCCACGGTGATCGAGAGCCTGGAGATGGAAATGGGGTTGCTCTGTCTCACGGGGGTGGAGGACCAGCTGCAGGCGGACGTGAGGCCCACCCTGGAGACCCTGAGGAACGCGGGCATCAAGGTAGGGAGCGCCTGCCCGGGACCCGGCCGCTGAAACGGCCGCCGCCTTGTGGGAGCGAGCTTCAGAATCATCCTGCCGCGGGTGTAGAGACGAGGAGGGGAGGGGGGCGGGGGGAGCGAGGGAGGAACAAGGAGCGGAGTGCATGGGCAGAGTGACCCAGAGCCCTGTCTCACCTGGACCGCTGCGTCCCGCCCGCTCCTCCAGCCCTGCCCCGAAGGCCACACCGGGCCCCCCGAAGGCGCGGCTGCGTGCAGCCCCGTATCCCTCAGGGCCAGGCTGTGTGTCCAGATGCTCGGGGTGTTCAGTACCTTCTCGCTGAGTCACCGGATGGCCAGCCGTCTGCTGCTGTTCTGGGTGAATGAGTGACCGCCCGCACCTCAAACTGCCTTATTTATTACGCTGTTTGGGGCCCAAAAGAGAAAGATAAAAAACCCAACCTGACAATCCGGTAGTTTCATCCGGAGAGGCCAGTAGAGGGCGTCGGAGGAGCAGGCTACGCCTCAGAGGACCCCAGCCGAACAGCCTGACTGGCTGGAAGCTCCTGGAAACGTGTCATGTTTGCCCAGAAGCAGCTCTCCCTTGCATCCCCCGCCAGTACGCGGCACAGGCTCCTGTGAGCGGGGCCACAGTAGGGGCCGAGCTCCGGCCACATGAGCAGGGAGGGAGCACGTTTCACCGTGAACCGGGTTCTGTCACGTGTCCTTGGCCCCCAGACCTGGTCCCTGGCGAGGGAGTTGTCAGCCACGTCCCAGTTTCGGAAGAGCCATCCGAAGTCAGAAGGGCTGGTGCTTAACTTTGTCACTGGCAACTTCTGAGGCCGCTTCTCTCCGGGTCGTGGAATATTCTGGTTCCTGCTTCTGGCTTCATCCTCAGCTGCTCCTCCCCGAGGCCGCTGTCTCCAGATGGAGGGGTGTTTTGTTCCCACTGTGGACTGGACTTCTCTTCCTGCTTTCCCTGGTCAGACGGGAGGGGGAAGGGAGCACAGGGGCGAGGCGTCCAGGGACTCTGTAGGTGCGGTCTAGCGGAAAGCTCTTTCACGGGCCGGAACGTGTCGGAACTTGGACAATGGCTACTTCAGCCCCTTCCCAGAGGCAGCAGGCGGGGCCAGGCGAGGCAGGAAGGTCCTAGGGCTCGGGCCTGGGCACTCACCCACACGTGCCCCCCTGTCGTCCCCTCGTTGGAACATCAGTCATGTGGTGCACCAATGACTTTCCATGGGTTTCTAGAACTTGAGCCTCCCAGCTCCGTTCCCGGTGTTTGCTTTCATACAGCAGACCCTGAAAACTGGCACCAAGCTGGGGTCGCTTAAAAGGATATTATCTTTATGGGCGGATGGGACGTTGAGAGGAGGGGCTGACAGCCACCAGGGGCCGGGCCAGGGGCAAGGGCCCCCAGAAGGGCCCGCCTGTCTCACTGCCTGGGTTGGAATCTGATTTCTCCACCGACTGCCTCGGCGATCCTTGGCAAGTGGCTTCTCGGCGCTCCGTGTCCTGCCTTATAAAGTTACCGTGAAGGCCACGTGTGCTAAACGTGGACGGTGTTTGATGGGTACCTAGCACGGTGAGCGCTCGGGAAACCGTTGCTCTTCTCGTTCCTGTGCCTCCCCACTGCCAGCATGCGCTTTGTCCAGGGACTCTGGGAGAACACACGGCTGATGTGTGGACTTAGCAGAGCAGGAAGCGTCTTCCGCTTACACTTGGGAGACCTGGATTCTGGGCCTGGTCGGGACCGGAACTAGCTGTGTGGCTTTGGGGCAAGCCGCTCCCCTCTCTGGGCTCACGGCGGCAAAATGCAGAACGACGTCTTAGGAGGTGTGGAGGAGCCTGGCGCATTGACCATTGGCTTAACCGACCGCGTAGAAAGACCGGATGCGACGTGATGAATCAGTGTTTCCTGTAGGACCCGGAAGTGACCCCTCCCCCACATCGCCTTTCCCTTCTTTGAGATTATTTATTGCCTTGAGAGAGATTTCCGGAATCTCTCTTAAGGAGGATTATGAGGTCAGAGGCCAAGCTTCGTGGTGTCTGTTGAAGCACATGGGCAAATGCTTCTCTGCAAGTATCGTACCAGCCTTTGCTGCCACCAGCAGTGGTTCCTTGGGGGTCCTCGAGCCCCCCAAGTGGGGTATCCCCGTGGTTTGTGCTGGGGACACCGGGAGCCTCGAGGTAAATGGAATGAATCAAGTTTAGCTCGGTGTTCTTGGGGACCGGGGCTGACACGGGCTCCAGGCTGGCCTTGACAACTTACAAAGAGGAGGCCCCCCCCCCCCTGTGCTGCGATTCCAGGTTTGGATGCTGACGGGGGACAAGCTGGAGACGGCCACATGCACAGCCAAGAATGCACATCTGGTGACCAGAAACCAAGACATCCACGTTTTCCGGCTGGTACGGTGCTCTCTGTGTTGGGGCCTCGTGGGGGTGACGCTGCAGTTTTGCCCTGTGACCTCATGACCTTGAGTGGACCCCTAAAGTATAGAGGGGAAAACTTACAGCACTGGTTTGGGTGGGATTACTGAATGACCCAGGTGGGGCTACAGGATTCCTCCTGGGGGTGGTTCAGCAGCACCTCGTTACTGCTGTGTTCTTAACCTGGCGGGGGTCATGGTCCCTTTGAGAAGCTGTCAAAAAGCACAGTCAGGACGAAGGACGCAGATGAGCCCATACATGTGAAATCGCACACACGAGTCCAGATTCCACTGAAGCCTTGAAGGCCGAGTCCTTGGATGAGAAAAATTTCCGGATCACAGACATTGGGCTGTCTGCCCTCCTGAAGGAAAACCTTTAGGAGCCTTTAGAAGGAGGTATATTGGGTGGGCAAGCGAGAAATTTCTTGCCCTGGTGGCAAGCACTTGACCTCAACAGGGCAGGCATGAGGAGGTGCCCTAAGGCCAGGAGCCAAGACTGGCCTGACCGGGTGGGGAGGTGAGTGCCACTCTGTAGGCGGGACACAGCAGTCCTGCTCCTGAGGTCGGAGCTCCCATACCCAGTGAGTGGAGAGGCTCCGCGTGCGGTGGGAATGTCCCCTTGCCCCCGCCTTTGGTCCCTGCCACGCAGAGCCTTCAGGAGACGCAGCCATTCTGGCAACAGCACAAACAGCATCGTGTGGAGGTACATATGGTCAGTCTCCATTATACGCGGACTCCATATTTACAAATTCACCTAGTTACTAAAATTTATTGGTAACCCCAAAACCAGTGCTCCGGGTGCTTTCAGAGTCCTCTGTGGGCATGTGCAGAGCAGCGAGAAATTGTGGCTGCCAAATGTGTGCATCATTCCCAGCTGAGGTCAAACAAGGCGATCCCCTGCCTTCTCCGCTCTCGTGCTACGCAGAAGCCCAGTTCCCGATCTACTTAGTGCCGCCTTTTTTTTTTTTTGCATTTTTGTGTTAGTGATTTCATTGTTTAAGATGCCCCCCTCCCCATCACAGTGCTGGAGTGCCATCTAGCATTGCTGAGCTCGGGAAGGCTATGATGTGCCTTGTGGAGAAAGTACGTGTGTTGGATCACCTTCCTTTGGGCATGAGTTATAGTGCTGTTGGTTGTGAATTCAGTGTTAATGAATCAAAAAAAAAGTCTATTTTAAAAGATGTCTTTCAACGGAAACACATATAAAACAAGGTTATGTGTTGATTGACAAAAATACTGTGGCCAGAGGCTCACAGGAACCTGGCCCCGTATTCCACCTACAGGAGCAACGAACAGATAGTTACTTGTTAAGTCGGTGTTCACAGTGACCTCATAGAGTGTCGCTACTGGAAATAACAAGGAAAGACCGTATGTTCTTTATATTCTGTATTCTATGTATTCTGTATAGTTAGGGGTTACAGGTGCCAGCCCGTGTGACCGTCTGCTTTTGTAAATAAAGTTTTATTTACACACAGATATGCCCATTTGTTTTCACCTATTGCCTCTGGCCGCTGTGATGCTACGGCAGCAGAGTTGAGTAGTTTTTTTTTTTTTTTTAATTTTTTTTTTTTTAACGTTTATTTATTTTTGAGACAGAGAGAGACAGAGCATGAACGGGGGAGGGTCAGAGAGAGAGGGAGACACAGAATGTGAAACAGGCTCCAGGCTCTGAGCAGTCAGCACAGAGCCCGACGCAGGGCTCGAACTCACGGACCGCGAGATCGTGACCTGAGCCGAAGTCGGACGCTCAACCGACTGAGCCACCCAGGCGCCCCAAGAGTTGAGCAGTTTTGACGAACACGGTAGGGTCCACAGAGCCTGTTTGACATCTGGTCTAGTACAGAAAAGTTGGCCACCCTGTCAGATGCCTGGCTGCTGACGCTTGCCCCACGGCCCCCTGGGTGTGTGGCTTTAGAGGGGCTCACACAGCTCGCCACGCCTTTGTTTCCTTACGTGTAGAGTCCAGCCGTGGCCGTCGCGCACCTTGTAGGGTTGCTGGGCGAGGTCAGTGGGGACGAGCCACGAAAAGTGCTTAGCGCGGTGCCTGGCACTCAATGAGAGTACGGTCATTTTTAGCTCCTGTTTTTATGCTGTGGGTCACAGCTGTCCTGGGGGAAATGCAAGGTGATCGTTGGTGCACAGGCCCTCCCGATTCCCACAGAATCATAACAAACAGGATTGAATTTGGCTCTGGGTCTGCCGGCAGGGGAGGGGCAGGGGTCCTTGGCTGGGGTGGCCATTGTCTCCGGACCGGCTTCAGGAAGCCACTGTTTGTTGTTCTTCCATCTCCGGAGAGCGGGGCCCCCTCCACGCCTGTGTTCCCTTCCAGGTGACCAACCGGAGTGAGGCCCACCTCGAGCTGAACGCTTTCCGCAGGAAGCATGACTGCGCCCTGGTCATCTCGGGGGACTCCCTGGAGGTGGGTGCGGGGCCCCCGCCGGCCGGGCTCTCCTGGGGAGCGCGCGCCCCTCCCTGCTCTGGTGGGGGCCGCGGCCTTGGTTGACAACCCCCACCCCCGCCTTCCCCTCCCAGATTTGCCTCAAGTACTACGAGTACGAGTTCATGGAGCTGGCCTGCCAGTGCCCGGCTGTCGTCTGCTGCCGCTGCACCCCCACCCAGAAGGCCCAGATCGTGCGCCTGCTCCAGGAACGCACGGGGAAGCTCACCTGTGCGGTAGGTAGGTGCCGCCCCCGCCCCCCACCGGCCCCGTCCCGCTGGCACGTGGATTTGCTTTGTAAGGGTAACGGGGACCCTGCTGCAACTCAGATCCCCTGGGCCATGTTCCTTGGGTTGTGATTCTTTCCCCCAGCCGACGCGGGCTCCGGAATTCATATGATTTTGATTATTTTTTTTTTTAGTATTTCCCTTTGGGTTAGAGTCGATAAGCGTGTTCTAGGGCTTTCCTCCATGGCTTGCTCTCCTTTGCTAGTGATGCAGGAGGCAGCACAGCCGAGGGCTGGAGGCCGCACGCCGTGGAGGGGACCCGGGTTCCCAGTCCGAGCTGGTTTTACTCGCTGGGCGCCCGTCCGAGCCTCGGTCTGCCCGTTGGTAGGATGGGGTAATAAGCACTCATCCAGTGGTGAGGGTGGAAGGGGTGGATTCAGAAAGCGCTTACGACAGGGCACGGTGCGCGTTGAGCAAGTGCGGCGTGGGTCACTGCTGCTGATGTGATGTGGGGCCCATGCGCCCCACAGGCAGGGGTGTGGTGGTCGTAGACAGCGGTGAGGCGTGGACACGGCCCCCCCTTCCCCCCCCACTGCCACTCGGCGGCCGGACTCTGGCCAGTTACCCGGTGTCCCTCTGACGCTCAGCTCTTCCACCCGTGAGACTGGGGGGTGTCGGAGCAATTACGTGGAGCCGCGCAGAAGGGACACTTAGCGAGCCCTCGGCGAAAGGCGAGACACGCACGAGTCTTCAAAGTAAGAATGATGTGTCGGGGTCCCGCTTCTCACTTCCGCCCAATTTCCCGGCTTTTCTCTCCGGCCCATGTGGCTGACAGGTGACGGAGGCAATGACGTCAGTATGATTCAGGAATCCGACTGCGGTGTGGGGGTTGAGGGGAAGGTGAGTGCGGGCTGTGGGGGGTGGGGTGCTGCTGGCCGTGGAGGGGTGGGTGCTGGGGGGCTGCTCTGCCTCCCTCGCGGGAGTTTCTTTTTCCCTCGAGACACAGCTCTGACGCTTCTGAAAACTCGAGATTAGAATGAGGAAGCATAAGGAACCATGTCACGGAATTGCCTGGCGTTATTACCTGGGGGTCAGAGGTCCGTCTCACCGTATCTTACGGACGACGATGCTGGTTTTCCGCGTGTCAAAACTTGAATTAAACACACAAAAAAGAGTGTTTTGCTGTGTTGTTAGGGCACAGTGAATGCACTTCAGGCTTTTGCGTGGTGGCTGCAGCGTCCGTAAAAGCATCGGTCGCTACGCCCGTGCTAACGTCTGGGGCATCGTGGAGGGAGGTGACACGGTGTGTGGCTCAGAGGCCTCGGCAGCTGCAGTGTCTCACGAAGCTCGTGTGCTGTGACGCAGCTGTTGTTTCCTGCCCTTGTCACGCGTGTGCTTGTCCCGCAGAGTTGGCTCTGTCCTGAGTTCTGACCTCTAAATGGCTACGGGCAACATTGGTTACCAGGCTTGTTGGAACTGTGTGTGAAGTAAGAGTCCAGAGGCCCCGAGGGAGGGCTGGAGACGCTGTCCTGTGCGTTCGGTCCCATAGCTTCACGGATTGGGCTGACGCATACGCTTTAAAAATTTTCTTCTCTCCACCCTTTCTGGTTTTGTGGTGCTCATCCAGTTGACAGTTATTCGAAGTTGCAGGATTCGGTGATCTTTGAGATGTTCCTGGAACGGGCCCTTTTAACGCAGGTGTGGCCCCTTAGTGGCATCCATCACGCGTCCTTTCCAATTAGAGAATTCCATTCCACGGTGGCACTTCTATGAATGTGCAAAGTTGTACGCTCAGGAATGTTCCGTTTGGGATCGTTAGTAGCCTCAGCCCCCCACCCACCCCAGGCTTCCATTTCACTTCGAGGGTCTGAGTGCCTGTCTCTGAGGATTCTTTGCTTCTGATACACATTATGGGGTGGGCCTACCCCCCTGCCCCAGAGGCTTAATACCAGATCCATTTGACCTCCGAATTATCACAATCTGTGATTCAGAATGTTTTTTATTTAAATACATTCCTCTTTTTAAATCAAATTTAGTCTTGGACCACCAACCGAGTACAGCGTGAAACCAAAGAAGCTCTTTATCGAAGTTTTCCAAAGATCTCCTTACAACGTCTTGCTTTTTTCAATTAAAAGAGAAAAAAATGTGTTTGCCTTGACCTCTGGTGCTCCTGACGGTGCCCAATTTTATTCGATTTTAGGAAGGAAAACAGGCTTCCCTGGCTGCAGACTTCTCCATCACCCAGTTCAAGCACCTTGGCCGGTTGCTCATGGTGCACGGCCGGAACAGCTACAAGCGGTCAGCTGCCCTCAGCCAGTTCGTGATTCACAGAAGCCTCTGCATCAGCACCATGCAGGTGGGTGGGCGGTGGGACCTCCGCACGGGCCACGTGGCCATCCTGGAGAAAGCCCAGGAACGAGGCTGTGCTTTCGAGCCGTTACCCCACCTGGCCGGTTTCTTTCTTTCTTGACTTAATTATTTTTCCCACCCGGCGAGTTTAAATCCCAAACCGGGTTGACCTTGGATTGTCACAGATCCTTCCCTTGATAGACAGTGCGGGTCATCCTTGCTGCGGGGGAGCAGATGCAGGCATTAACACCAGTGCCTGCCCAGCGCTTGGCATAAGGGAGATGCGGTGTAAATGCCCAGAGGTGTTATGATCAGTTTGCCAGAGAGGAAAATGCAGAGAGGTCAGTGCTGGTCCCGGCTTTTCCAAATGCAAAAATAAGGGCCAGCAGAGAAGAACCACCGAAGAATAACTTGCTTTTCTTGAGCACTTCCTGTACCCTGGGCATCAGGCTCAGTGTTCACCATGCAAGTGGCTCATGCGGTCCTCACAGTCGCCTGCGCCCATTTTACAGATGGGGAGTCTGAGGCTAAGTGAGGGGGAGAGACGTGCTGCAGGGTCCCTCGGGGGTTTAGACTGCAGTGGCACGGGGATTCCAGAGCCCGTGTTCTTCATCACGGTGTCTCCTTGGGTGCCCTCGATACGGGGAGGCCGGTGCTGCCTCCGCTTGCGGGGGCTCCCAGGTGGGGCGGCGTGGCCCATGGCCCTGGGGGGCGTCTGATATCACAGTTCTTCCTTCCGCCATCCCTGGTGGGAGTGGAGCTTCGTTACCACGATTGTTCATCTTCTCGGGAATAACGTCTCACGCCCATCTTTTTCTCACAAAAAGATTCTAGAGTATTTTCCCACCTCCTGTCTCCCCAGCTCCTTTAAACATCTGTCATCAGGCTGTAGCAATTAAGTGCATACTGGGAGGAAGGCCAAAGGGTGGGAAAGAAACTATTCTGGGTGTTGAAACACTATTGACTGATTCTCCTCCGTGGACACTTAGGTGAAAACACCCCCATTAAGCGGAGAGAACATAGGGGTGATGTGTCTTGACACCCACCTCCCTTTCTGACCCCCCCCCCCCCCCCCCCCCCCACCATGTGTCTCTGAGACTTTGAGCAAGTCGCTTTCCCCCTCTGGGCCTCAGTCTACCGTTTGTGACATGGGGATAGTAAGATGTGTCTTGCCTCTCGGCCAAGGCCACTTTGAGAAGCAGAGTTTTCTAAGGCATCGAGTGCTGAAGGCATCCTTACTGCTGTTAATCAAAACAACAGGGAGATGTGTACCATAAGGGGACATTTTAATCTGTGGGAAAGGAGCTTAATCGCAACATAAAAGATCCTGCCTTTCCAAGTAAGTGCACATGAGGCCTCCCCTCCCTCTTCTTTCTTTTTTAAAAACTTTTTGAATTTTTTAAATGTTTATTTTTTGAGAGAGAGAGAGTGTACGAGCAGGGGAGGGGCAGAGAGAGAGGGAGACACAGAATCTGAAGCGGGCTCCAGGCTCTGAGCCATCAGCACAGAGCCCAGTGTAGGGCTCAGACTCATGAACTGCGAGATATGACCTGAGCCGAAGTCAGACACTGAACCAGCTGAGCCACCCAGGTGCCCCTGATTTTATGTTTTCAGTATCTGTTGCATTTGAGAGCATAGAAGCCTTCAAGTGATTTTTATCAACATGATCAAAATAGCTGTTATGATTCATCAGACCACATCTGTACTGTACTTTTTTTTTTTAAGTGTATTTATTTATTTATTGAGAGAAAGAGCGCACGCACAGCCTGCAAACCAGGGAGGGGCGGAGAGAAAGGGAGAGAGAGATGCAAACCAGGGAGGGGTAGAGAGAAAGGGAGAGACAGAATCCCAAGCAGGTTCCGCACTGACAGCACGGAGCCCTGATGCGGGGCTCGAACCTATGAACCGTGAGATCATGACCTGAGCGGAAATCAAGAGTCGGACGCTTAGCTGCCGGGCCCACCCAGGCGCCCCAGACCACATCTGTGCTTTTAATTTAGGTTAGCTCATGAATCACACTGGATATTACTATGATTTAATCACTGGAAGATTAATCAGCTTGTCCGTGGCCATGCACACAAGAGCTGGCCTGGATGAGCTGACTTCAGTCATGTCTGTATGTTACTATGAGCCTCAGTTTAGAAAAAAATTCCAGGATGAGAAATTGTTCTTTGTGCTGTGGGAAAATGCGTTCACCCCTGTCCACTGTGCTGAAAGTGATTGGCTAAGAGCAAGTCCCTGTTAGGACTGCACTTTGACATTGTTCTCTTTGATAGATGTGGCCACAGTGGTTTATTTTCCCTAAAGTGTTCTCTCCAAGATGAAGAAGGCTTTTGGCCAGCCAGGCCCTTTTAGGGGAAGGAGGCTCTTGACCTTGATTTGCAAAACTACGCACCAGATTCTTGACTTTTTTACAAACGTCCTTTCTGTGCCACGGCCCCGCCTGGGTGAAAAGTCATGTGAAAGGTGGCTGTCACCTTTCAGTTCTGAAATATGACCAGGGGGTGCAGCTGGGGCTGCCCAGGACCGCGGTCCCGGGTGGCACCTGCATTTGGAGCTCCGTGCCAGGTCAGCACCCAGAGTGGGTGCTGACGGGGAGATGCCTCCAGTGAGACACCCTTGCTAATGGCCAGCCTGCGTCTGCCTCTTGTACTTAGTCTTTGAAAAGCCTTCAGTTGTTGCCGGCCTCTTTTTGGTTTTCCGCTCACAGGAATTCGCTTTGAGGCCACTTTCCTTCTGTTAGCCTGTAGGTGTCCAGAGAAGGACCTAACAGAGCATCAAGTCAGATTTTATCTCCCCAGCCTGTTTTTCACTGCCAGTAGCTAATATTTTCCAAACCAGGAAGTAGATATTTCAGTAAAGGTTTGGAAATGCTGCTCTTGTCTAATTGCAAAGGTGTTCCTGGTTGTGGGCACTTCGTAAAAGTTTCCCAGAATTGTAAAAGGTGTCATGTGAGAAGGGAAGCCTTGTCTGTAACCCCGCCCTCCGGGGTAATGGGTGCCCATCCTCATGGCGCAGGTGTCTCTGTCTGTTTCCATACCTCTGCTAACTTGTTTCTTGGGCGCATGCCCAGAGAGGCGGTGCTTCTGAGCTGTCAGGAGCGCGGGCTCTGGAGACAGAGCTGGGTTTAACCCTGCAGTGAAGTTTACCTGCTCAGATTCCCCGTCTGTGAAAGGCAGGTGATATTAGGACTTGATCTCATGGGCGGTTCTGGAGATTCACAGAGGTCATGGAGAGAGCGCCCCTGGGTGTAGCCTGTGTAACTCAGTGTTCACAAGGGGGCTGAGCGTGGTCTCTGGAGCTAAACTACCTGGGAACGACTCCTGGCTCTATCACTGGTGAGCTGTGTGATTGTAGGCGAGTCACTTAACCTCTCTGTGCCTTACTCTTCTCCTCTGTAAATAGGGGTTGATGACAACAGTACCTGTCTCATGAGGTGCTTGTAATTGTTAAATGAGCTGATTTACTCAAAGCACTCACAACTGTGTCAGTAAAGCTTGCGCTACGTTAAGGGTGGGGAGTTGTCATTATATAAAGTTAGGGCCTTTGTCAGTGATTTTTGGTAACATCTTCCTTTCTCGTTGGCACAGGCTGTCTTTTCCTCTGTGTTTTACTTTGCATCGGTTCCTCTCTACCAAGGATTCCTCATCATTGGGTAAGGAAAGCTAGGCAGGGTTATTAACTTTTTATGAAACCTCCCTAACATACCACAGAGGAGAGAAGAAACATTGTGTCTCGACTGTTCAGCCCCCGAGTTGCCCGGGATGCACTTGAGAACCTAACTTGGATTTTTATTTGCAATGTTTTTGGTTTGTTTTTTTTTTTTTTAATTTATTTTTGAGACAGAGAGAGACAGAGCATGAGCAGGGGAGGGGCAGAGAGAGAGGGAGACACAGAATCCGAAGCAGGCTCCAGGCTCCAAGCCATCAGCACAGAGCCCCACACGGGGCTCAAAGCCCCAAATGTGAGATCATGACCCGAGCCGAAGTTGGATGCCCAACCAACTGA